AAAGTGTGGGGCATTTACCCATGCCACAGCCCCTATTTAAAGGAAGGGAGTCTGAAGAACTGCCAAACTGAGGAGACCAGATATGAAGTTCTAGACCTACTGGGGAAATTAAAAATTGGTAAGTCTCCAGTTCCTGATGGCATATACCAGGGAGTTCTTATGGAGCTCAGATGTGAGATAGTTGATCTACTAAACTGTGTGTGTAACCTATGACTAAATTCAGCTGCTGTACCAGAGGACTGTAGAGTAGCAAATGTTACACAAATGTTACACCAATTGTTACAGAAGGGAACCAAGGCATTACAGGCCAGTCAGCTTAACATCTGTTCCAAGCAAATTAGTAGAAACCATAATCAAAGACAGAATTGTTAGGCACACAGAGGGACAAAGCCTGCTTAGGGAAAATCAGCATGACTTCTGCAAAGGGAAGTCCTGCCTCACCAACCTTTTGGAGTTCTTTGAGAAAGTGAATAAGTATGTAGACAATGGTGACCCAGCAGACATCATATACCTGGACTCAAAAGGCTTTTGACAAGGTACTTCACCAATAGCCACAGGAATAATCAGCTTTAAGAGGTGATTAGATAGATTCATGGAAGATATGTCTATCAAGCTCATAAGCTATGAGCTACAGTGACTGAGGGGAACGTCCACATTCAGAAGCATTAGCTCTGAATGCCAGAGCCAGGAGGCAACTAGGTGCATTTGGCTGTATTTGAGCCAAAGAAATAACTGGAAAATACCTTATTGGTATTTATTGGCTATTCTTTCAGCTGGATACAGAGGGGGGTGTATTATTGGCTATCAAGTATAGCCAATCCCAGATAATCCTGAAAAGAAATACAGAATTATCCAGGAAAACAGGATAGCCACAGTTAAATGGTGTTTAAAGAGAGTGCACTCCCTTTAAATGCCATTCTGGGTGAAGCTGCAGCTTCACAAAAATATTAAAAGGGACTGTGAAACCTTTAAATGCCTTCAGCTTCATTATAGACTACGGGGACCATTGCAGTCAATGATCCCCATAGGCTATAATGGGGAATCTACAGGGGGTATGCAGTGGTCTTGGGGGATTCTGTTTTTTTAGGTGCAGGCACCAAATTTTCAGTGTAGCAGAACCAGTGCATGTACAGAGTGTCCAGAAGAACCAATGCCACTGTGGCAATGCCAGCTCAACAAATCCAAGCAAGGGGGGGTTCCAAGCCCAACACAGCCAGTGCATGTACAGAGTGCCGAGCACTACCAGTGCAATGTACTTGTGCCCAGCAAAACCTGGTGCCTTCCCTTAAATGCTTTCTTTTTTCTCCATTTAAAACAATGGAGTGCACTGGTTCTGCTGGGCACTATGTACATGTGCTAGCTGTGTTGGGCTTGCAACCCCCCTTGCTTGGATTTGTTGAGCTGGCATTGCCACAATGGCACTGGCTCTGCTGGGTACTCTGTACATGCACTGTCTGTGCTGTGCTTGCACTCCCCCATGCTTGGATCCATTGAATTGGCATTGCCACAGTGGCACTGGTTCTGCTGGCAAGTCTGCACATGTATTGGTTCTGTGAGCACTCTGTATATGCATTGGTTCCACTGGGCTTGGAAAACCCCCACCACACACCTTCAGTTTCTACTGAATAGACTCTCTGGTTTGACATTAGTCCTTTTTCTTTGCTGTTTTCCCCCCTAACATTGAAAATAATGGAGGATGGGGGCCCCTTCTTTGGGGGCCTATAAAATTGTACCCCTGCTCCAATCTTTTTGAAATGTGGGGGTCTTTTGAGAAGAGGCACCAGAAGATACAATGAAATCTTGGTGCCTCAATCTCAAAAAACCCCTTGGTACACCCAGATAGATTCCTGTGCTGTCTTGGCTGGCTGCCACAGAGACCACACACTGGAAGCTTATAAACACAGTCCAGAATCAAGGTCAGTCAGAGCCAAAAGAAAGAGCCAGAAAGTCAATTCAAGGTTGCAAGGACAAGGAGCGGCTGCTACACAAATGCAGGAGCAGATCTGAGTGAGCAAAGTTGCTGCAGCATTGAATCAGGTGCACTGAGTGCTTTTGAGCAAGTCCTTCCTTCTCTGGGGTTGAGTCTGCAAAGGCTTACAGCTCTTCCTCTGCCTCTGCAGGAGCTGAAGTCTAGCACTCCTTCTTTGCTCCTGCACAGTCAGCCTCTGGCATGCCCTACATCTGGGGCACTCAGGAGAACTAGGCAAGGAATCTGGCCTTGGGGTGTCTGCAACTGGGGGTGCTGGGCCAGGCTCAGGATCGGCCTCTCCTTCTGGCTGCACCTCCTGTGCAGCTGCTGGGGACTCTTCCTCCTCAGGTATAGTTGAGGGTTCTTCTTCTGGGCTGACTCCAGAGGAGGCTGGGCTGCTCCCTGCCTCTTCCTCATCTGAGTAGTCAGCCTCAGCAGACCAAGTACCCACGACACTTCCCCATTGACTATAATGTTCCCATAGGTTATAATGAAGCCAGAAAAAAATGGGATTTTCAAAACAAACAAACAAACAAAAACCATGAATCCAAATACTATAGTGGTATAGGAATTTGAGGGGGTTTTTTGGGAATCCTGATTTTTTTTGGATCCAGTATATCCAAATCCATAAAAATCTGATTTTTGTGTGCACACCACTAGAGGCAACATCAGGGGAAGGCCTTGGGTTCTATGCCCTGTTGTTGGCTCTCCAGAGGAACTGGTTGTCCACTGTGAGAGACAGGATGTTGGACTAGATGGACCACTGGTCTAATCCAGCAGGGCTCTTCCTGTATTAAGAACTTGGAATGAAGAAACACACAAACTGATTTTGGGCACTAAGAGCTTTTGTACATACAAAGAGTTCCCTGTTGAATACTGAGAACGTTTCACATCCAAATCTCCACGGCAGGTGAAAAATTGTTACCTGACCACTAAGAGAGTAAGGAAGCTGTTTCTCATATGGGAATACTGTGTGCATATCCAAATGCCAATGTGCACTTTGATCAGAGCCATACCATTACAGACTTTCAGGACCGCTCCCTTTTGTCTCAAAGGTAGAAGGGAGTTGGAGTCGAACATTTAGTTCCTTATATTTTTACCTTGCTTTTTATAGAAACTTGGCTCCCAAAACATCTTACAAGAATAAAAGAATGATAACATGATCATCAAGACAAATGTTGCTCAGAGAGAACTTGGTGGAGCTACATGCAGGCTCATTGGAGGGTACCTCACTAATGGCTGCTAGAAGAGAGAGGAAGGGGGGTTTTCAGATGGAATTGGGTACAAGTCTAATGGAGAGGCACCTAGCCACTTCCTGCTCTTCTTCCCATGGCTGAGAAAAGATATGCAAATTGACATGATGCCAGTGCAGTCATCTCCATGGTAGCTTCAAAATCTGCAACTTAGGTTCATGGTATGGTTCCCAGCCAGGGGCTGGCACTCAATGGGAGACTGGGGGAGATATGAGGGGTGACATCAGTATGAATCCTAGGCATAATGACTGGATTCACCCTGGAAGCAACGTCATGCCATTGTTCCAACTGCAATGTTCCCTCCTCGCCCCCGCCACCGTAGTTCATAGGTGTTAGTGGTGGGGAATCATTTGTGTGTTCATCTTTCCACGCTGCAACCTCTGCCTCCAAAATACATCCACAAGAACAGTGTGTGAGAGAGTGTATAGTAGTAGAGAAGGGTAGTAGTAGACCTCAGTCTCCCAAGGTTGCTTGCCAGGTGATAACAGTTTAATTTCCAATGGCTCCAAGATTTAAACAATATATAGTGAATGTCACCATTCATTTTAAAGTAATTAATGCACAACAGCTGGATTAATCTAAGTGAAATAATGACCGGCTGCTCAAATACCCTAAGTCATCCTTTGCAACTCTATTGATGAATATTGATATTTTACATAATAAAAAAGGAGAATCCCAAGGCCATGCTATAAAGTTTATTTGCTCTGACAGTACAGGACATATTGTAGCTCTTCCATTTTATCTTTCATTTCTGTCTCCACTCTCCAACATTTTATTGAAAATGGAGCACAAGATATCACTGGATGGGCGTCACATGTTTTTGTGCTAGGATTTTAAAAGTGATGTGCATGGGTCAGGAGGAAGGCACATAACAAAAGAGTGAAGGAAGGGAGACAGAAACATTTTTTTTCCAGTATCCAATCTCTAAAGAGATCTGCTGTAGGAGGTACAACCTGTAGTTGGCTATATATAAGAACAATTCTTTGGTGGTCGAAGGAAACTAAACTGTAAATGAATATTGCATAAAACTTCTGCAATCCTGCACATTAACAGATTTATAGAAGTAGACCAAAACAAAAAGAGACTGGTGTTAACCCTGTTGGGAATGCATAAACAAGCACACCACTTCCCTGCCTTTGGGCAAGGACATAAATTGGTCCTTTAAGTGCCATCTGAAATAGTTATAGAACTTGTTTATTGTTTTAAATTGTTTTAATGTATTCATTGAATATGTTGTTCACTGCCCTGAGCCCTACACACATGGGAGGGCAGTCTATAAATCAAACAAACTAATAAATAAATAAATAGGTGATCTTCTAAAGTTAGAGACTGCATCTGCACCAGCAGGAGACACCATGCGGGGTGGAAATGACATTGTGTGACAGGTGACATCATGTCCAGGTGAAAACCCAGATGCTGATGTCAGTGTGTCAGCCAACACTCTGGAAAAAAATAACACAGAGTTTCCAGAGTGTCAGCTGACATCACATTGGATTTTCATCCGGGTCTGACATCATCATGCTGTGCAATGTCACTTATACCATTTGCCCCATCCCCAAGCTCCTGGCAGTGCCAGGTAGTGGCCTGGCATCCATAAAGCTTTGCAAGGGGTTCCATGATGAGCAACAGTTTTTAGCAGGTGGCAAAGATGCAGAGTTCATACAAGATAAGGTCTGAATGTTCCATATGTATAATAATTTTTCACTGGGACACATGAAAATGAGATACAATGAAAATTGTGCCAGGGAGACTGTTTGTTCCGGGATGCATCTACCAACCTGTCTCCTTTGAAGAAGTAAGTTTTCCCAACATCTTCCCACCAAATTGCTGAATCAATACCATGGGGTGGAATCCCACTGCCCAATGTTACCAAATCATGAGGATAGCCTGGTTGGAGAGTAGTATCCTTGAAGACCCAGAATTTGTTACCTGAGTCAAAGAGAGAGAGACAGACAGAGAAGGAGAAATATGTGCATTAGCTTACAGTCTATTGATTCAATACATCCAATATCTACAATCTAAATTTCTCTAGGTTTTAAAACATGATTAACTTCCCTTTGAACTCTGCAGAAGAAATATTTAAATTTTTCATTCTGGTACATATGTTTCAATGTGCAGATACCAATGATTTATGCTGACACCAATGGGCTAACAGACGCCAGTGATACATGCTGCAGACTTTCAAACAGAGATGCACAGCTTGTGACCCACTGTGTTGAACTATGTCCAGTGGCTATTAATTGAACTCTGTCCAGTGGCTATTATCAGTCGTGGGTCAGGAAATTAATAAAACCCCTATTTTCCTGCCCGGCCAAGATTGCAAAAATCTTGTCAAGCGTTTGGCAGTCCGTGATGCAGGGCAGCAAGTAGACTTCACATGGCTAGGTGGGACACAAAGAGGGGGAAAATGGAAGGGGTAACCATCAACCTCTAGGCAGGCTGTAGCACAAAGCTACTGAGTCGAATTACGGTTACTATCTCACAGACATGCTCGATTTAAAATTCTGCAGCATGTTGTTAGTCCTCAGGGAATGGAACACTTTTTTTTCTGTCAGTACCCCTGACTAAGTGTGGAAAACCTCAATTTATGGTGCTGCAAGTAAAGCAGTTCCTTAGGATCAGGCTGTCAATTTGTAGAGCAGACATACCCTAAGGCACCCTGAGGTAGTGGAGCTAATGAGAAAGTCTGTGTTCCCGGATAGCTGTTCTGTACACCTATCATTCTAGGAACCAACAAGTACAAAAAACCAAGCATCTCTCTACTTTTGTGCAGTGAACAAAGTGCCTGGGCTGGTTGGCTTCAGGAACACGTATCAGCCCTTAGGCACTGTTTTTCTGTAATCATTTTAAAAGGAAACTTTACTTCACCCCAAAGACTGAGGATCAAGTCTGTGCTAGAGTCTCTGTGATGGAAAAACCAGAAAGTTGTTTCACAGTTTGTTTTATAGATATCTCTCAGTGGTATTAAGTCAGGGAAGTCTTGAAGAATAACATGGAGGGATGGGGGAGGAAAGGAAGGAATGTTTCTTTGTGTGCACCTCTGTGATTTACAGCATCTCCTTTTATCACATTTTTAATTAGGAAATGGGATCTAGTTCCAATCCTTCCCCTGCTGAGTTTGCAGAGTCTAGCTTTCATCAGCTGCTTTACTGCTGCTTGCTCTCCGCTTTTGAGCATCAGAATGCCTTTGCTGTTACATACCAGAGCCAGTCTTCTTACACAAGGAGACATTACATTGCAGTGTTATTCCACTTGGGGTTATAAGCTCTGCCCCCAAAAGGGATATACCAGGGATACTTTGGGCTGATGTCCATGAGATGGAGTTCAGAGGGCATGAGATGCCGGAGATCCCAAGATCCAGCCTGTGAAATCTGGCACAGTCAGATATTACTTGTATGTTCTCCTTTCTTCTCATGTGCACTATTTTTGCTGTCAGGGCTTTTTTTGTAGAAAAAGCCCAGCAGGAACTCATTAGCATAATAGGCCACACCCTGACAGGGCAGCTCATTAGCCTATTAGGCCACACCCCCATGCCTTCCCTTGGCTTGCCTGAGTGCTCTGCGACTGCGGGGAGCCCAGGCAAGCCGGCCCTTGGACAGGCCGGAGAAGGCACAGGGAGGCATTTAAATGCCTCCCCGATCCTTCCAGGACCACCCCTGGCCCGCTCGCCTCAGAATCACTAGAGGGGGGTTGCTCTCCAGGCCTTCCCTCTGTAGCCACGCACCCAGAGGTTTTGGCTGTAGTGGGCGTGGCCAACTCTGAAGCCAGCCGGAACTCCGTTCCTGTGTGTTCCTGCCCCAAAATAGCCCTGCTTGCTGTGGACCAGGACTGTGAAGTGGTGCAGAAGTTACTCCAGTGTCTCCCTTGAACAGAAATGGTCCAGAGAAGAAAGAACACAAGGCCATATGGTCTTCTGCAACAAGTCATATAAAGTCTCCCCTGGACTGTTTTTGTTCAGGGCAACCATGCAGGGAGGGAGACTTGAGTGCCTGCTGCTCTGTGATATAGTCCTACCCAGAGTGTGAATAGTGCACATGGGAAGGGAGGAAAACACAAAAGTCATTTATGACTATGGAAGACTTCACAGTTGTGTCCAGGCCAGGGTCCCCACCCTGAGAACTTCACCTTGAGGAAGTTAACCTTTTCTCATTGAAACGCACCACTTGACCTGGGTATTTACATAGGAAATGGTTTTTGTTGTTGTTCAGTCGCACAGTAGAGTCCGACTCTTCGCGACCCCATGGACCAGATCACACCAGACCTTCCTGTCTTCCACCGTCCTCTGAAGTTGGCTCAATTTCATGTTCGTTGCATCTATGACACTGTCTAACCATCTCATCCTTTGCCATCCCCGTCTTCTTTGACCTTCAATCTTTCCCAGCATCAGGAAGTGGTTTAGTGATTGACAAAAATGAGACCAAAGGACATAATTTTGCTTAGGTATGGAAGACAACAAAAAAGATAATTGATATTTGGCATACTCTTAAAGCAGAATACAGCTTTATTTTGCTGCAGTTCTTAGGGAGAAAGAACAGGTTTTACTTGTGCAAAGAGCTACATTGGAAAAGGGTCTGAAATCCTTATGCTCCCTTCCCAATCAGCTTTCATAAATGTTCCCTCAAATTAGAATGCACATGTTTTTGAAATGATATTAAGTATTATGGGTGTAATTCATCCAGAGTTAAGTACTTTCAAGTCTCATTAATTTCAGTGGGAGAGATTTAGACAAGTGCTTAACTCTTCCATCGAAATCAATGGTGCTTCAGTTTGGATGTTTCATGGCCACTATAGATACAATTAAAATAGCTTAAGAAGCACATTAACAATCAACACCCCTTGCATAAAAATGCACAGTGTTGGTTGAATCCAAGGCTCATTTTCTACTAATAAAAGGGCACCTGTCAGGGGAGGAAGAGGGACATTTTTGCTGATTCCCCCTTCCACTACAGATCTACAGATCTTGATTTTCTATTCAATTGTTAAATTATTTTTTGGGGTATTTGTGTGCGTGTATGAGCTTGCATGGTCTGGAAGTCATGGTGACATCTGGTGACCACCTACTGGGGGCTTGGATGTTTTTCAGAGAGGTGGCTTGATAGCCTGCATCTGCGTCCCTAGCCCTGGTTGTAGTGTATTCAAAGCTGCCTTGAATGCATGACATGTGGTGAAACATCTAACTGAACTGTAATGTTAAGCTTCGTCCTGGGCTAGGATCCAAATCCATCCAATAGTATTGCTAGCCCAGGAAGTAACAAGCCAATCACTTCAAGCAAGCTCCCTGACTGGGAACTAATGTGATTGGACCTTATCTCTGCAACCTCATAGGTTGATATTTGTACAGTGGGTGTGGCTACATTAGCCGGGAATGTTTAAAAGCAGGACAGCTGCAATGTAAAGGCTGTTCTGGCTATCAGATGTTGATCCGTGTTGGAGTTGTGTTCGAGTTGAAGAATAAAGTTGTGTTCTTGCTGAATCACTTTCCGACTGCTTTGTTAAGCTAGCGACTTAACACTGGTATTCCTTGGTCTCCCCTACAATTACTTGCCAGGATCAGCCCTGCTTAGCTTCCAAAATCTGACAAGATTGGGCTTGCCTGAGCTATCCAGGTCAGGGCCTGATTTTCTATTCAACCTACAAACAGAATTTCAACTGCCCGACACTGGAGTGGCTAATGGTCATTGATTGACTGACTGATTGAATTCATTTATTCCCTGCCTTTCTCCCCAGTGGGGAGGAAAAGTAGCTTATATTGTTCTCTTCTCATCCATTTTATCCTCACAACAACCCAGTGAGGTAGGTTACACTGACTGATGGCCCCATTATCCATGAATTTGTTTAACTCCCTTTCAAAGACATCAGCATTCATCCATGCAAAATGTTGGTTATAACATAGATCCGTTACAATGGAGTAAAGTATAGAAAGTGAATATTAAGTTGACTAAATCTGTTTCATTCAAAGAAAATCAATATAAAATGTTCTATAGATGGCACATAACCCCAGATAGATTAGCTAAAATGTATAAAAACTTGAGTAACAGGTGCTGGAAATGTAACAATCATGTTGGATCATCTATCTATAGAAAAGAAAGCCCCCTCACCATAAAATCAACACTCAGGCCAAACCGCTGGACCTAGAAACACCAAATTCAGGGAGAGAGCTCCTACTATGGCATAGATGCTCACTAAGAAGGGAATATTAGAAATTTGACCCCTAAGGGGGTCAAAAGGAGTAAAATGTGCTCCCCCCATTGATCCTTATGCAGCTGCCAGGCTGCTGCCTCCTTGCACCCCCCACACTCTGATTGGTCAGCTGCAAAGCTCAGTGTACTGAGGTAAAAAAAAAGATACAGGGGACTGCAGAGAGCTAATGACGAGGTGGCCAACAACCACCTGTGAGGTGAAGCAAAGCTGCTGGCCCAGCCTCCCTATGGCTTCAAACATGCTCCCCCCTCCTACACCTGAGGGCGGGATATAAATGCTAAAATAAATAAATAAATAAATATATTTCTGTATCTTTCCTTTCCCCTTCTTTCCTC